TTTCGAAACGATAGAAGATATATATAAACTCAAAGAGAACATCGTTCGAATACAACTGAGACCAAAGGTCTAATAAGCTAAAACTAACATTCGAAAACTAAAAATGAGAGGACACGCTTAAAAAAGCGGCCTAAAAGACACCAAAAGAAAATAAAAGAAGAAGGATTGCACACCACTGCTCAAAGCCTAGCACACTCACCAACTCCAAACCAACAAACCAAAACAACAAACAAACCTAAAACCAAGAACAGAAAGGACCTCAAACTCTCACAGCAAGGAACTCCTGCCAGTCCTTAAGAGCCCTTCTAATAAGCACATGAACTGGCATCTTAACCTTTTCAAACATCCAAAGATTTCTTCCCTTCCACAGCCACCAAAGAAGATAGGTGGTAAGTTGGATTTTGTCTTCAGCGACTTGAGTTTTGTTGATTGAACAGAGATGCCACCACCAAGACCTGAAGCAGCAGTCATCAGATAATATTTTTATTACTTAAATGTACCTTATTTATGATGGATAAAAATGAACTTATAAAATATCGTTTTGTATTATCGATATTGATTTTAATATCGTCATTAGTTTATACATTTAATATTGATATGAATGTATCTATATTTTATAGTCACCATTTGTATTGTGTTATATACAATGACCATGTATATGTTTTTATTTTTTTTCTCCCGAAATGATAGAGGTAATATATAAAAGCACAAAAGTGCAAAAGGAAAAAAATACAAGACCCCAACAGGGTAATTCTAAGACCCCAACAGGGTAATGAGACAGGGGCCAACGGCCCAAACCAAAAACACCCTAAAAACAAACCGGAATTAAAGACTGAGAGGACACGCATGGCGGCCTAGAGAACTCCACGAACGAAAGTAAAAGAAAATGAAAAACAGAGCCATTGCACAATGCCTAGCCTGTATTCATCTCCAAACCAAAAAGACTCAAACCAAGATCACAGGACACAGACAAAAAACAACAAAGAAAACACAAAACAAGAACACAATAAACAAAAATAAAATAAACTAAATGGCCCTTCCCCAGCGAACGAGAAAGCCCAGACTAGAAGTGAACGATTGACACAAGACCAATCCAGACCAAGAACCAGCTACCGAAACTGCAATCAAGCCTATACAGCAGAGGAACCCAAAATCTGAACCAGTCCCCGAATCAACCCATCGACAACCAAGAGGGCCATAGTCCATCCTACTCCGATTCCATCCGAACTCCTCTAACACCACTAGACGAGGCCGAAAGAACCTCCCCACCGCCTAACACCACTAGCCAACGGGGAATTGAGCAAGAAGAGAGCAACCCTCCTCCCGATCACCGCGACAAGGAGCAACACGGCAACCAGGGTCTCGCCCCACCCGACGATTCACACACCACCCATCACCACCGCAGATAACCGAAGACAATCGGTCCGGCCCCACCATAAAAGGTGAAGCGCCGCCGGAGAAAGTCGAATCCGAACTCGCAGACAAAGGGGAAATAACGGGGCTTACCAAAACAAATCGCAGCTCCACCGGGGACTGAAAAAAAGATTCCCATCGTCGGCCTTGCTGCGACCTCGAGGTGCGCCACCGCCGTCCGGCACTCCATCTGCAACCACGAACCTGCTGTTAGAGTAGGATACCCGGCGTTCCAATCAAATTAAACGTATTCTACTTGTAAATACAATCTATTGGAATTATATTAAATAATAAGGCATTACTTTATTTTAAGAGTAAGCATTTATCATATATTTGCACTTAAGATTAAATTCCTAGATCACTTATAGCTATAAAATATGGTTGCGCATAGAGATGGTGATCTTGGAACATATCTTGAAAGTTGTGATCTTAAATACATTTCCAAGTCGTTGGATATTTCGAGATGAGATATCGAATAAATCCAGAAAAGACTTGCACATAGTATGTATGCTTATTGGATAAGAATGTTGCATTCCATCAACATTAGCGTGAGTCGCAAATACATATATGTGGGTGCTTGTTAGAGAACAAGTTCACTGAACATGACCGTATGAAAATTCTTAATGAAAGTTTATCATGTCGAATAAGAATTTTCATGTTACAATAGTACATGATTAATCCTTAGATTTGAGGCACGATGGTAACTTTGTGCATATTATATTTTACTTTGATTTATCCTTTTGATTGCTAGCACAATCGCATAAGGGATATTTTGGGTATTATATTAATATGTATGGAAGTTTGTCAGTGGCCAACA